CCTATTGTGTCAGGCCTTCCTGGTTGATGTGGGAGTGGCAGTCACCTGCACCAGTGTATCCTGTAGTCACAGAAGAGTGACGCACACGAACATGTCACATGATGACCCCATGGAAACATAACCAGTGCCTTGAATAGTGAGAATGAGTGCTAAGCCATCTGGTCTACCAGGATCCGGTTTCAGCTGTTCTCTTCCTCTCATCTCAGCCTGCTCTCCAGCTCAGCATGCCCCTTCATGCTCTGCCGCCTTCTCTCTCGCCTCTAGTGGTCCGGAGACCATCTTTGGTGCCCTTCATCGTTCATCCCACTAACTTATCTTTCTCATGCTAACCAGCTCACAAAGTCTTTTACTTGAAAACAGTGTCCAAAATGTCAACATGCCCTTCGCTTGCTACTGGAATATTTTCAGGTTTTTCACATTTGAAGTTCACCTTGAATGCTTATACTGGGACTTGACAGTATCTGAATTATCCTACTTTGGACATTTGTACCCCAAGGGCTGTATTTAAGTGGATTTTTGTAAGAAAATAAAGTGTAGTTACCACCTCCCTTTAAAGTATAGTAGGGTGGAGTGGTAGCTGTTCAGAAAGAATTCTTCCCACAAAGTATCTCATGGTCAACTTTCCCTAACTATCTTCAAAGACAGTCTGACAATAGAAAAATCCATCCTATAGATTACAGGCAAGTGAGGAACTGGCACTTCCTGCTCAGTGGGCGAGTGCACCTACTGCTCTTCCAGAAGACACAGGTTCTGCTCCATCATCCAAGTCACACGGCTCACAGCTGCCCGCTCCAGGGCATCTAACACCCTCTTCTAGCCTCTGGGGGTGCCCACAGATGTGATAAACACACATACATTCCAATAAATAAGGTAAAAATAAATATATAGACAAGTAAGTTATGATTCATAGTTCATGCAAAATCCTGGGATCTTTGAGTTATATATTTTAGCAATATTTACGGTTTATTGTCTTCTTTGAAAAAATAAATGTGGAGTAGTTGGAAGAATTTTCCTTTATTTCTTTAAAGAACAATTTGCTTTTATTTTATGTGCATGAGTGTTTTGCCTGCATGTATCAATGTACACCGCACATGTGTCTGGTACCCACAGAAACCAGAAGAGGGTGTCATATCACCTGGCACTAAGTTAAAGATGGTTCTGAACTACCATATGGATGCTAGGAATTGAACCTGGGTCATCTGCAAAAGCAGCAAGTGCTCTTAACCACTCAGCAATCTCTCCAGTACTTGGAAGATATTTCCAGTGACATATTCTAAGAGTGACTAGTTGTCTCATTCATCATGTTGATAGAGATCCCCAGGAAATCTTGATAACTCTGAATGTGTTCTGTTGTACTGAGAGAGCTTATGATTTCTTTAACAGATCTTAAACACACACTCACACCTCTCCTAATGTTTGATATCTTTTTCTATGATAAATACTGTGTTTGGGGGGCTTCCTTCTCAAAATTAATTAGGGAGGGTCTTTTTTTAAAAAAAATCAAACAGTTTAGTATATTTGGTCTTTGTTTTATAATTGCTTAGCAAAATATGAATTAAAGTATGGTTTAAAAAATACACCTAGAAACCCTTTGTATTATTAGATTATTAAATGAAAGTATTCCTATACTCAGGCTGTACTGGCTGTCTAGTGTAAGCACTATATTGTAGGCGCTGGGCACAGGCTGCTCAGGTCTCCTTCCTCGTGGAGCTCATGTTTAGTGGATGAGACAGATAGTAAGCTGTAAACGTGAGCGCACACACACATTCAGAGAGGGAAGTCCAGCACTGGCTTCGGTGGTCTGAGTGGGGTTCTCTGGGGGTATGGCTTTTCTGATCTATACGTAATGACGAGGGGCCAGTCCTGGAAAAGTCCACCCCAGAGGCACCCCCAGCCAGGAGCAAAATACAAACGACAAAGACCCTGCCTGAGTTTAGGGAAAGCCTGGCAGGATCCAAGAACAGGAGGTTGTGAGCCTGTAATAAGAAAGGCGGTGGTGAGTAGATGGGGGGGGGGGGCACAGAGGCCGTTAGGCGGGTCCAAACTGCAGAGCCTTGTAGAAGTAACACATACGGAGTCAGGTTTCTCTTTCTGTGTAAGAGACAGGGCTGTGGGGTTTTGTGCCGGGATGTGGCATGATTTATGATTTCTCTGGAGGAGCTTGGTTGTTATGAAGAAAAGGGCTGTTAAAGACTAAGGCAGAAAAACTGAGTGCCATGAAGCTAATATAACAGGCCAGGTGAGAGACGATGGCCGTTTGCGGTAGAGGTGGGGATATGGATAGGGGTCGCTGCAGCTGGAGTTCTGGAGCGGGTCCAAGGAAGTGCTGGCGTAGACAGTGTGGACTGATTTGGGGATGGATGAGGAGTGGGAGGTAATTGCTCTTAATTCAGTATAGAATGAGTCGACATGGAGACATATCTCGAACATCCCATTTCCACTTTGCTCTGTATCCTACATTAAAAGTTACTGCCCGTAGTCCTTGTTATGGTGAAACGAGGTCCTGGCAAAAATACCCCTGGCACTGCCACAGTTTCTGCCTCTTCCAGTGAGCACGTAGCGGACACAAAGAAATCCACAGAGGAGATGACAGAAACGACCCGTAACGCACAAGGACAAGCAGAAACTAGTTGTTTCGCTAATAGGCATCTGTGTAGAGCCGTCTATTGTAATCTTTGCAGAACCATGAAGTATTCCAACCTGCATTTACAGCAATTCTATACCGTGCTTCTGTGTCTTGGTCCTCTGAGAAATTCTTACGATAGCACGCTTGGTGACGGTGTTGCTTCCCAAGTGATCTATAGCTCCAAAGATCCCCGAATCTGCTTTGGTTTTCCCCTTTGGTGGAAGATCCCACCCTCCCTTCTACTGACTGGAGGTGCAAATGACCGGAGCAGCATCTATGCCAGAATTTTGTTCAAACAATGCCCATATCCTTAAAACAAAGTAACTTCAGCACATGGCGGTCTACCTGCCCACTCAGACAATCCCAGCATGCAGTTCTGCAGTGCAAACTGAGCACCTCCCACCCACATTGCACAAGACCGACTCTCCCAGCAGCAGCTGTACGTCTCTCATATTTATTTCCTACTGCTGCTCCTCCCCCAGATGCTATCAAAGCTCAGAGGGCTCTGCTTTTGGAACGCTCCAGAGTTTGCAGGTCCTCCCTTAAATCTGTTCCTAGTTTCTGCTGATCTTTGTAAAATCTGCTTGGACGTTTCTGAATTTGAGTTTGATCCATTAGTAATATCACCTACTCCTCTCATATCCACCGGACATCATAACAGAGCTGATGGGGTCCCCAAGTGATGCCGTGAGGGAGGGGAGCCCTGACCTCAGCTGGGCTCTGGCGAGGGGTACAAGCCTCGTGTCTTGGACACTGGTTTCCACTGCTCTGTCTCATACACCTGTTGAACTGGTTCCAACACTCAGGGAACTCCAGCTCTGTTGGCTAATTGCATTCATTACATCATTTCAAAGTTGGGTTCAAGTTCTTTCCTTAGGGTCTTCTGTACTCTCCCACAACCTAGGAGATGTGTCAAAGCTCAGCTTTAAGTCCCCTGAAAGCAGGGAGGCCCATTGACCTCAGGGCACCCAAACATGTTTTGGTGAGGGTTAATGTTACAAACTGACCCGAGTCTTGTCTTTGGCCAGCTGTGTTAGCTTATTACATGAGAAAGCATGCTTAAGGGATAATAAAAGAAAACAAAAAACGGAGGGCTGGGGCTGCAGAGACGGTTCAGCCATTAAGACCATGCACTGATCTTCCAGAGAACCTGAGTTTCGTTTTCAGCACCCACACTGGGTGGCTTACAATGATCTGTAACTCCAGTTGCAGGGGGTTCAGTGCCCTCTTCTGGCCTCCTTGAGCACTGCACACACACACACACACACACACACACACACACATATATCGCTGACCCTTCAATGCCAGGTTTTCAGCCTTCCAGTCTCCACCATCCCTTCTGGCAGAGATGCATACTAAGGGCCATGGTCTCTACTTCACTCTGATCTGCCCTGCCCTGCCCTGCCCTGCCCTGCTTTCTTCCAGGTGGTCATCTTCAGGGCCACCACAGGCCTTCTTCATGAGAGCCACATCTGTTCTATTTTGGCTTTCTGTTTCTTCCAAGGCTCACTCTTCCTCATATGATGAGAACCTTGAGCACTTAGCTGTGGCTGCGAGGTTGCTCCTGCAGAGCTGCGCCCCTTCTTCACAACTCCATGGAAAAATACTTGCTTGTAGCTCCTCTCATCCTCAGTTCATCCCCATCCCCCACCCCCCAGCCATCCTCTGCCCCTTGACGCCAGATTCAGATCTCAAAGCCTAAGAAGAGCCCTCTAGTCCCCTGCTTCTGAGTCCCACTGGCCCCTCAGAGAGTAAATATACTGCTGTCCCATATTATCCTCCGAGCTTACTGCTCAGTCCTCTGCTCTATGCCCATCACTCAGCCCTGTCACCTTGATCTCTGTGTCTGTCTCTTCCACTTAAATAAAACTGTTCAAAGGCAGAGACAACTGTGGAGGGGATGCTTCTCTTTCGATGTGAGCTCCCAACTCGTCTGACAGATGCCCAGCACATAAAGACCCTCAACATTTGAAGGACGAATCACCATTACTCACCACAAATACGTTTTTTTTGAAATGTGAGCAGTGGTTGCTTCCTAAATCATCTCCATACTACTAAAAGCAGAAGTTATTTTTTTTCAAAGCCTCATTTGTTACAAGACGTTAGTACTCTCACTATTCAAATGAGAGCTCAGGTTTTTAAGGAGGATTTTGCTTGTTGAGATTATCAGAGCGGCCACTGGGCTTGGAAGTCTTTCCACCCGAGTAGAATTTGCTGTGATCTCAACAAGCTTCAGCATTCAAAACTGATTGACTTCATAGTGCAAGGATCAGGGTCGTCCTGGGGGGGGGGGGGTTGCATGGTGGAGGCCGGGATGTGGCACACCGTGGTGTGTTTTAATGACCCCGCTCACCTGAAACTCATCTTTCTGCAGGTGATGTGTCACCAATCAGTATGTCCCCCATCAGCCAGTCCCAGTTTATTCCACTCGGGGAAATCCTTTGCTTGGCCATCTCGGCAATGAACTCTTCAAGGAAGCCTGTCACCCAAGAAGCACTGATGGAACACCTGACGACGTGTTTCCCAGGTAACGGGAGAGAATGGCATTCTCTCTAAATGGACGTGGGCTATGGGTGTGGGGTGTGGGGTGTGGGCTCCAGGACTTTAAAGGGACACCAGGGGAAAAAAAAACCTTTAACTCAAACCGACTAGATGCTTTTCTTCTGTGTCTTCAAATAATAACAATCACAAAGTCACTCCTTTAGGTACAGCACTTTCTATTTTATTCTTATTTATTTTTTCATTTACTTTTATATTTTGATATAATACTTTTTAACTTGATGCTAAGGGGAAAAAAATAAGCCAGCATTGTAAGAAATGGTGAGAATGACCAAGAGTCTACTCATTCATTGCAGTTCGGCCTTCCTTAAATATATAAACTTGGGGTTCATCAGAAACAGCTGCCAATGTTTAGTCCCAGGAGTCCAACTACAGAAATGATGTTAAAATAAATACGCCTCGCATGTTTGTGTTATGATCTAATGAGCCTTAATAAAGCATTACTTCATGAATTGAGACTTCTTTTTTAAAAGGAAAAAAAAATGCTTTTTTTCCCCCTTAACTGTTACAAAATGAAGACAGTGGGTACAGCCGCGGTGTCAATGGTTGCTGGTGATTCCAGTGATCAGGCTGTTTGCTGTGGTCTATACTAAACACCCATGCCCCATCTCCATGGAGGGATCCACTACTCCCCTCCAGTGCTGGGCCCCTGCCAGAGTCGCCAAGTCTAGTGTTACAAGAGACTTTCAAAATCCCGTTTGCTGTGAAATCTATAAATTTCCTTAGGTACAGGCCATTTTCTGTGCATGTATATTTTAACATCTATAAATAGATGGAGGCCAGCCTGGTCTGCAGAGTGAGTTCCAAGACAGCCAGGGCTTTTTACATAGAGAAAGCCCATCTCAATAAATAACAAATAAATAAATAAATAAATAAATGAAAAGAAAGAAAGGTAAAGTAGATGGGCAGTGTGCACCTTATAGGACTGCCAGTTTGCCCACTTAGTGAATACTATATCCCTTTCTAGACTGAAATAGAAATCACATTAAAAATAAATGCATGATCTACTTAATGTTCAGCTTTCAAAGAGACTTCAGTAATATATGCTGTTGGCTGAATCTGCTTTGGCTACAGAAGAGCTGAGTGATAAATAACCAGATGGTTAAAGACAAACAACAGTAAGCATTTGCTTAGGTCTCGAGTCTAAGGGTGCCCGGGAGTAGGCTGGGACTGAAAAGGTGGGCCTGTGCTGCCTATACTGCTTGTCTTTGGGGGAAAAAAAATCCTTGACCCTTGGTCATATCTTATGTTCTAATGCGTTGATGAAGCGATCTTGGCTTGGCCGGAAGCCAAGGTGTAGAAAGTGTGCGTGAGCATACGCATGCATGCACGCATGTGCACACACACGAGGAATGGCTAGAAGAACCAACCCCGTGAAGATCATGAACATGACCTACCACCCTCCGTCTCCATACATTTTCTTTGGCCTCAAAGAAACTATGTGTTTCCTTCCCAGTAATTTCCCCCTCCTTTCCTTCTTCTTCTTCTTCTTCTTCTTCTTCTTCTTCTTCTTCTTCTTCTTCTTCTTCTTCTCCCTCCTCCTCTTCCTCTTCCTTCTTCTTCTTCTTGTGTCTGTTTGATTATGGTTCTTTTTTGTTTTGTTTTTAGTTTTTCGAGACAGGGTCTTTCTGTGTAGCTCTGGCTGTCCTGGAACTCACTCTGTAGACCAGGCGGGCCTCAAACTCAGATCTTCCTGCCTCTGCCTCCTTAGTGCTGGGATTAAAGGCGTGGACCACCATGCTCTCCCTCTCCATTTTCAATGTCAGTGTTTTTATATTATATGTGTTATTCCAACAGTAGCATCAACCTACACTTGCAACCTATAAATTATCTTAAATGTTATAACATTTTATTATCTCCAAACATTCTTCACTATTTGTCCCCCTTTTCTAGCTGCCCAGCATGGCTTTCCCACTGGTAGTAAGACTCGCAGCTCCCTAGGTAAGAGAGGACAATACTCTTGGCAAACAGCACCCTCTGGTACAGGTCAACTCTTCTGCTATATATACTAGGCCACTGCTTCATTCAGCGAACCATCCAGCTGCTTTCCAAGTCTTCAGATTGTTAGTTCCACAGCTTCATGAGAAGCCACGTGACTTTCTCAGAAGTGGTTCCATGCCTCCCATGACTGTAAACCAGGAAAGAACGCAGAGCCCATATGCAGTAGTAAAATGCTCATCGCTACTGAGCAACAAACAGTGCCACCAAGCTACAAGACACTGTAGCAAAAACGAATCCCTGGCAAAGTACTAACTGCTTTGCCAAGTTTTATGGTAAGAAGCACTATCTAAAGTTTCCCATCTGTGTAGCACTGGGGACTACGGGCCAGACACAGAAATTTGCAGAAACACCATGTAGACTTTGCAACAGGTGGAGCTTTTCAAAAGCCTAGTAGCACCTGTCTTTGTGAATAAAGTTTTATTAGAACACAGCCATTCCTGATAACTCTGGATTAGCCTCTGCTCCTTGGATGTAGGGGAGTTGAGGAGCTGCCGCGTAGGTCACATGATTCACAAAGCCTACAATATTTACTAACTGGCCCCTTAACCCCTGGTCCAGGACATGGTAATAATTACTGAAATTCTTCTTTAGTGACCGTTACTTTTTCCCTTTAGTTTTGTTTTGTTTTAAAATTTTGATTTTTGAGACACAGCCTCACTGTGTAGACCACGCCGGCCTTGAACTTTATCATCCTGCCTCTACAGATGTACACCATTATGCCTGACTTAATAGATCCAAACATTTAACTAGTATTTCCTAAAAGAGGAGATTTCCCTGGCTTACCTGCCCTCTTTTCCTTTCCTCCTCCTTTTATTTGTTGCTTTCCTTCAGCTAAGTCAGAGCAAAACATCACTGAGAATTCAAAATTGTTTTAAATTAAAGTCCATTTTCAATGACAGTACTAAAAGTCTGGAGGGTTTTTAACTCTTTGTTTACCTCTTTTTTTTTACCTTCTTTGTTTTAAAGGTAAGGGTATTTACTTCTTTTGTAGTTTACTATTTGAAAAAGAGGTGTTGAAATACAACAGTGTTATTAAGGTATTTGAAATCTTATATTTGATGCATGTTTTATAAATGAAAAGGATAATTTCAAATATGACCTCTCACTGTTTCGGATATCTGTATTTCAAAGAGTAAAAATGTACCAGAAACAAATGGCAGGATGAGCCTTTTTAATATAATTTGAACTTTGAAAGTCTGTTCAGCAACTTCTGTGCACCAGTTTCCATTACAGAATTGCATGTGCATGTGTGCTTGGAGGGGTGGGGGTGTGGACTGTGTGTGTGTGTTTATGGTGTGTGGTGTAGGCTGTGTATGTGGTGGGCTGTATATAGTGCGTGTGCGTGCACACCCGCGTGTGTGTGTGCGCGCGCGCGTGTGTGTGTGGTATGGACTATGTGTATGTGTGGTGGGCTGTGTATGGTGTGTATGTGGTGTGGACTGTGTATATGTGTGGTGGGCTGTGTGTAGTATGTATGTATGTGTGTGTGTGTGTGGTGTGGAATATGTGTATGCATGGTGGGCTGTATGGTGTGTGTGTGTGTGTGTGTGTGTGTGTGTGTGTGTGTGTGGTGAGAGATCTATCGCCCTGCTGGGCCTTGTGCATGCCAAGCAAGTCTCCTACCACAGAACCACACCCTCAGCCTAAGACTATTTCTAAAGATCTTAAAAGAATACTTGTTTTCCATTCTCCTAAAGAACTGCTCACCCACCCATCCAGGATGAGTGCTCAGTTACATTGGGCTAATCCCTGTATATGCTAGGCCGACTCACTTCAGGGCCATGGAGGACTGTGGGGCAGCATGTAGAGTTGGAGCTGGCTTTAGCATCAGCTGCAGAATGTTAGCATGCCCATTCCATATTTTCTTTCTGTCTCATCGTTCGGAATTCTCACTCAGCCAGCATTCTTCACAAATAAAAATAATAATAGAATTATTAAGCATTTCAATCAATCTAACACCAGACGTGAAGTCACGAGCCTGTAGTCTCAGGAACTAATGAAGATAAAGATTGCTTGAGCCTATCAGTTCCAGGCTAGACTGAATAACGTGCACAGGTCTTACCCCAGAATGAAAGTGCCTTTAATCCAAACTGCCTAGCAAAGAACACACATATGTGTACTCTGTTCTGAGAACCAATCAGATTTGAAGGAGCAAAGCAAAAGGTGCTTCCAGGAAACACCATATAGTCATGCGATTGCTTTAAATACCTACCTTCCACGAAACAGCATATAGCCATGCGATAGATTTAAATACCTACCTTTGCTTTGAAAGATGTAAAGGTGTGGAAAAGGGAGAGGTCCGTCCAGCTTTAGCTTGGTTAGAATGCAGAGCTTGTCTCTGTTCTCCACAAATCCTGATTCACCATAAAGTGCTGGTGCAGAATCTGAAAGGGTGGAGCATGCAGGTGAGCCTCATTTTGTCAGGTTAACCCCACAAGTGTCTGGTAGAACTCCAGGTGAGATCGAGGGCTAGAAACATCAGTTACTATACTAAGACTTAATGGTAACAAGCATAAATTTTTACAACTTTCAGTTGAACCAGAAAAGCCAAGCTGGAAGTGTGAAATAGGTCGGCTGGCAAGGGAGAACGTGCTTGTGGTTTCTGTCTTCAGAGTAAACGCTGTTTGACTGGTGTCGCTGAGAATCCCCGGACATGGAAAACACAGATTCTCTCTTGCCCCTTCTTTGAGGAAGAGCTAGAGAAAGTTTTCTTAATGGTGATTAGCATAATGGTGATTATGTTATGGCCATGATTTTGTATAATCTATGGGTTTTCCAAGACCAGCAGTAATGATTGCTCTTAATATGATTCATGGACTAGAGAGCTGGCTAGGCAGCTAAGAATGCTCATTGCTCCTCTCAGAGACCCAAGCTGGGTCCTCAGAGCACATGTTAGGCTGATACTCGATACTCGAGTTCCAGAAGATCTGAAGCCCTCTTCTGGCCAGTGCAGGTACCCACATATATTTGGTGTGTACACACACACACACACACACACACACACACACACACAAGAGCAAATAAAAAGAAGTATAACTTACCTTTCTTTAGTAACAGTCAAGGTGAATTAATTAATCATGTGGGTTTTTTTTTTCATTTTAGAAAGGGTTTCTTTATATAGTTCAGCCTGATCAGAAACTACTATGTAGCCCAAGCTGGCCTCAAACTCACTTCAGTCCTCCTGATGAGTTCTGAGATTATAGGCATGAGCCATTATTCCCTGCTGGTTATTAAAAAAAACCTGTGGGTTTTTATAATTGAAACTTACCATATTATTGTGATTTTTTAAGCCCAGGTTTGTTGTGTGGGCATTGTGCTCACAGCTTCATCACCTGAGAGCAGAGTACAGCGTGTGTGCTCATCTTATGAGTCGTGTTCTGAATGGGGTCTTCTGCCATTCAACAGCAGGCTCTGGCTCGCAGGAGGATGAAAAAAGCTCTCAAGTTGCTTACCTTGTGTGTAGCTGTTTTTTCTTTTACGGCGGCACCCAAGAATTGGGTGGTTTGGAGTAATATCACGCATTCCGTTAAAAAGAGTTTCTATTTTGTACACTGTATCAAAGAATTTAAAAACAAGCTGTATCACACCAGTCTGCTACTTAGTTGTGAAAAAACTCAGTGTACATTTATCAAAAATAGATCACTAAATTAAAGGAAGATATGCAACTAAAAGATTAACTGCATTTAGCCATATGATGTATGTGAGCCTCTCCCCCTTGCTAAGGATGTTCTCAAAGGGTGGGTGCTGTATGTGAGCCTCTCCCCGCTTGCTAAGGATGTCCCCCAAAGGTGGGCGCTGCATTGCACCCACAGGCTTCCTCTCCCTGAGAGCACCAGTTCTAAAGTGTTAGATCCCACTTTCATTGTTTGGCAGGGTCGAGGGCATACAGATTTCTCAGCTCACCTAGCGGTTCTGGTTGCTATACCACATCATGTGAAGGTAACCTGGGTTTCCACGGTTCCTGATCCAAAATTGAGACCAGTGGCTGGCGTGTATTGAGTGCTTGCTCTCTGGCGCACACTGTTGTGCACACCCCGAACCCGTGTACGTTCCCAGCAGCTCTGTGAGAACGGATGCCTCAGAGGCTAGGTTACCAGCTGCCTTAATGATACCACCGGGAGGGCTGCTACAACAGATGAGATCAACCAACACGAAGGTGTGTACGGTTCTGGAAACCAGAAATCCAAATCGCTATGTCAGCGGGGCTGTCTGCTCCCTTCTGAAGGCTGTGAAGGAAACATATGTCCCCAGCATCTCTCCTTGACTTGTGCTTGGCCATCTTTGACCCGTGTTTTTCACACTCCCTTCCATCTATGCCTCTGGCTGTGCCATTTTCCTTTTTTCAGAAGGGCGTTACTCCTAATGGACTGTGGTCCACTCTAATGTCCCCATTTTAACTTGACTATTCCTGCAAAGACCCTAGCTCCAAACAAAGGACAGTTGGAGGGACTACTGGAGGAGTGAGAATTGTAAGGTGTGAATTTGGCGGGGAGGCATTGACTTCTTATAACAATTAAAGCTCGTAAAAAGAAAAGATTTATTTAGGGTCGCAGTTGAAAAGGTTTCAGCCTGTGGTTAGATGCTCTTGTTCCTTTCAGGTCTATGGTGAGTCTGCTTTCTGTGGTAGGATCATAGCCCAGGAGCAAAGGAGAGAGGAAGAGACCCGGGCCCCATTGACCTAAAGACCCTCCCATTAAACTTGACCTCCTAGAAGTACCACCAACTCTTAATAGCAACAAGCCAAGAGTCAAGCTTTTAGCACAGGAGTTTTAGGGAACATTCTAGATCTAAACTACAGTAGGGAATGAGGTGGAAAAAGAATGAACAATTCGACCAATAATGGCATTTTCAAAGACAGCAAGACTTCCAATCTAACAGTCTGGCCTTGGCATCCAAGCTTGCTTTCTTTCTCTACTGTACCGTGACATGTGAAACTGCCATTTTTGTGGGTCAAGTATTGGCAGTATTTATATGGTTTGGTCTGGCCTGTTTCTAAATTATACCATTCAGATCATTTCTCTAGATCCCACCCCTTTGATGTACCTGACACTGGCAAATGCAGAATATCCAAGAAATAAAGGAAGTGACCTACAGCTTGAAGGAGGTGCACCTTCCTAGGGATGTCTCTTCCTGATTTTTATCTTTTCAGGTAGGGAGGACCTAAGCATTCACGCGAATACCCTGACAAGCTAAGTGCACCGTGGCACAATGAAACACGTGCCCCGCCCACCCCTGTATTTATGTTCTAGCAAATGCAGACATTTGGGACTTAGTGATCGAACCAAGACTGTCTCCATGTATATTCATTAGTGTGTGGGTTAGAGCTCAATGGTTAGAAACTAGGAAAACCACCTCCCTCTGCTCACTCTTGCCAAGACCAGTGCTCGTATCTAACTGTAACTATGGCAGTAGACAGTTTCAACCTGCAAAGTGATGGATTTCAAAGTCACAAGGCATGTTGAAGAGTGGTTCAGTCCTCTGTGCGGGATTGAGTTCTCATGGTGCTCCCGCCCCCTTCGGCATGTCTGTTGTTGTCCTTGTTCAGTTCATGTGTAGGCAGTCGTGGGGAGATTTGGGGGGTATAGCTATGGGTAACTAAAGGATGTGAGAAATTGTGTCTGTCAGGGAAGAGCACCCAATTATTTGCCCAATACAAATGTCAACTCTGAAAGCATACATGGGCGTAACATTTTATAAACCAAGTGGCTTTTATTAAGTGTATGCATGTGCATATATATGTACATTCATATAATAATTATTCATAAAAGCAGAAGGTGTGAATTTGAAAAAGAGCAAGGCGCAGTATACAGAAGGACTTGGAGGGAGGAAAGGAAAGGGAGAAATGGAATTATATTATAATCTCAAAATTAGAAGAAGTTTTAAAGAGGAGTAGTCAAATACCCTTTTATAAAATTTATAAAAGTTAATTTTAATTTAACTTAATCTTTTAAAAATTGGCACATAATAAAGTATATATATATTTATATATATAAGAACATCACATTATTGGAAAAAATGCCATAAATTTATGTCACTCCATGGGAAACTTTTCATTTTCTTGTCCTTTATGAAATAGTCTCTCTTTCAAGATGTTCAAGAAAGGCTTTTTAGCAGTGCAATCGAAGTCTGTCTAACTTCCTTCTCTCTCCTGCAGCAGCAGTTTTCCTGGTGTAGTCTCAGGATCCAAGCAAGGTGTCACGCGTGCTGGACAAAGCGTTCTAGCATGCATCTGCATCCCCAGTGCTCCCTGTTTTAACACCTTTTCACTCCCCAGGTGGTACCATGCACAGGAGTCATCAGAGAAAACCGGGGTTCACACTAAACGTACCAAACACCTCTGAAGCCTGCTTCCATGCCCTGGGGCGGTACTTCAGATCTGGCAATGTCCACAGGACTCTGAAAATCAGGGGTCCTCTCCTGTCCCTTCTTCTCTCTCACAAACATCTCTGTTCTTGCCCGTAGGTGTTCCAACCCCAAGCCAAGAAATCCTACGGCATACCCTAAACACACTGGTACGGGAGAGGAAAATCTACCCGACTCCAGAAGGCTATTTCATTGTGACCCCACAAACTTATTTTATCACGCCTTCCCTCATAAGAACTAACAGTAAGTGGTACCACTTGGACGAGAGGGTACCTGACAGGTCTCAGTGTGCCTCTCCACAACCGGGAACCATAACGCCCTCTGCCTCAGGCTGTGTCAGGGAAAGGACATTACCCAGAAAGCACTGCGACTCTTGCCACTGCTGCCGAGAAGACGTGCACAGCATGCATGCCTCCACTCTGCAGAGGAAACCCGCCAAGGACTGCAAAGACCCCTACTGCCCTCCTCCACTGTGCCAGGTGCCGCCCACTGAAAAAAGCAAAAGTACTATAAATTTCTCCTATAAGACAGAAACTCTCTCGAAACCTAAAGATGGTGAAAAACAGTCCAAAAAATTTGGCCTCAAGTTATTCCGGCTGAGTTTTAAGAAAGACAAGACCAAACAGCTGGCCAATTTCTCTGCCCAGTTTCCTCCCGAGGAGTGGCCCCTGCGAGACGAGGACACGCCGACGACCATCCCCCGGGAGGTGGAGATGGAGATCATACGGCGTATCAACCCGGACTTGACAGTGGAAAATGTCATGAGGCACACGGCACTGATGAAGAAACTTGAAGAGGAAAAGGCTCACCGGAGCAAGGCCGGGTCCTCTGCCCACCACAGTGGGCGGAGTAAAAAGAGCCGGACTCACCGAAAGTCCCACGGAAAGTCTCGGTCCCACAGCAAGACCCGCGTGTCGAAAGGTGATCCTTCAGATGGCTCACATCTGGATATCCCGGGCGAGAGGGAGTATGAATTCTGCGACCCCCTAACCAGGGCCCCCAGGGAGGGCTGCTTCATCATTGAACACAAAGGAGACAGCTTCATCATGCACAGTAACACAAACGTGATCGAGTCCCATTTCCCCATGACGCCCGAGTGGGATGTGTCTGGCGAACTGGCCAAAAGGAGAACGGAGATGCCCTTTCCCGAACCTTCCAGGGGAAGCTCCCACTCCAAAGTGCACCGAAGCCACAGCCATACCCAGGACCGGAGGTCCAGGAATGAGAGATCCAACAAGGCCAAGGAGAGATCCAGGTCCATGGACAACTCCAAAGGCCCCCTGGGCGCTTCTTCTCTCGGGACTCCAGAAGACCTGGTTGAAGGCTGCAGCCAAGATGACCAGACCCCCAGCCAGTCCTACATTGACGACAGTACCTTACGGCCTGCGCAGACTATTGGTCACCAAAGGGCTCTTATATCCTCTGCCAGTTATAAAGAGGTATGCATTCCAGAAATAGTCAGTGGCAGCAAGGAACCTTCTAGTGCTTGTAGCCTTTTGGAGCCAGGCAAACCCTCTGAGAGTATGCCGTCCTATGGGGAACTCAGCCCTTGCCCAGCAAAAACAGCTGTGGATGACTATTTCCAATGCAACACCTCTAGCGAGACTGTGCTCACGGCGCCGTCACCTCTGGGGAAGAATAAAGAGGACCATGACACGTTGACCCTGGTGGAGGGGGTAAAAAAGCTGTCTCCGTCTGAGAGGCAGACCCCTCATTCTTCCAGGGAACCTGTTGGGCACAAAGAGGAGTCACCGAAAGGGCCAGGTGGGGGCCCTGCTGCCTCTGGTGGTGTGGCAGAGGGGTTGGCCAATGGGCGCCTGGTCCAACATCATAGCGCAGAACCCAGCAGCCTGGACAAAAGGAAAGAAATATTCAGCAAGGACACACTGTTCAAACCCCTACACAGCACCTTGTCTGTAAACAGCTATCACAAATCCAGCTTGTCCCTCCTCAAATCTCACCCGAAGTCACCTGTTGACACACTGCCAGGCCGATGTGAAAAACTGGAACCTTCCCTGGGGACATCCGTGGCCCAAGCCATGCCCCCGTCCCAGCGTCAACAGGAGTCTGGAGGGAACCAGGAGGCCTCTTTTGACTATTACAATGTCTCCGATGATGACGACTCTGAGGAAGGGGCCAACAAAAACACAGAGGAGGAGAAAAACAGAGATGATGTGGGCACCATGCAGTGGCTCCTCGAGAGGGAGAAGGAACGGGATTTACAGAGGAAGTTTGAGAAGAACCTCACCCTCCTCACCCCAAAAGAAACTGATAGCAGCAGCAACCAGAGAGCCACCCACTCAGCTCGCCTGGACAGCATGGACAGTAGCAGCATCACGGTGGACAGTGGATTCAACTCCCCACGGTAGGGAGAGGTGTCCCTCTATATCCGCACACACCCGCCAGGGCCCCAGGGGCTTTTATGCAGATAACTGACTTCAGTCTCAGGCAGTGAATGAGGGCTGTGGGTTATGTGACTTGTGTTGTTAACAACCTGTTTCTAACTTCTTTTTCAGGAATTGAAAAAAAAAATGTTTCTGCAGCTGTAGAGATCACCAATCTGGACTGGTGGGTTGGTTACCCTTCCCGAATATTCTTGCCTCAGTCTAGCAAGACTAAGACCAACACTCCCAGCGGTTTCTTCTATTTGTATTTGTAATCCCAGGAAAAGGGATTTTTTTTTTAATCCTTCAAAAAAAGTAACTTTCTGAGTACAAATAATATAGTCATTGGGAAGAAAGGGTTGGGTATAAAATCGATGCTAGCACAATGGCCCCTCTAGTGAGACTATAGTAATGGGCTTTACAATATTCCCAAAGGATCTAAAAGCTTGGTATCACTCTAATTCCTATGCCGTGCGTAGTCTGTTCTGCTTGCTCAGATGTCTTCCTCTTTCACCTGTGTGTGGATGGAGACATCAAAGCTTGTTCCTCTCACGAAAGTTAGGGGCCATACTCTGTGAGAGCAAACACTTGCCGGCACTTTCGCTTTCCTGCCTGTAGAATTGACGGTGCCTGGACAATGTCGTTTTGTAGTCTTGCTAGTTCAGCAGTACTGACAATTGGGAGTGTATAAGACCCGATGGTCCTCATCAACACACTGAGGTTGTTTAGGGCTGACAAACACAAACCCAGGGACGTCCCAGCTCCTGTTTTTCTCCGTAACTCTTTCTTCTCCTTAAACAGCCACTTGGAACCTAAATCTTGCTTCTAAACTCTTCTCCAGATTGGTGACTCTAAGGCGCAGAAATGCTACTCAGACATGCATATCCCCCATCATCTCTGATTTCCGATATGATAGCATTTATAATCACAATAAGTACCCACATAGGTACTTCATATACGCTCACTTATGTTATTAAGAATTGCAATTCATTCCTTTGTGATTATTGCACCCTATTGCTGGGCTGCTTGGGGACACATCATCTCAAAGTCAGACTTGGGGATCATTATAGTATTTATTCCATAATTAGGCATTTGCTATTTCTTGAAGGACCAGTTCTTGACTTGTTATTGTTTCTATTTTGATTATGTAACCTTTTCACCCCAAGTTTACCCATAAATGGAAGTTCCAATGTCTAACGCACATCTATCAGAGTTGGCACTCTGGAAAAGTGCTGGGGAATCCAGGATCCCGGGCCTCTGCGTGCATTAAGGATCCTCAGGAAACCCTGGGGAGCAGTGCCCTGGCCTTTTTAAAGAATCTGTTTTGCTAAATTTTCCCCCTCCCACACCAGATTTTATTTTCCAATTAGTGTCTCTGTCCTTGGCCACTGATTTTCCTGTTCTGTATCTTTTCCTGTCTTGGAAACTCTAGCAGTAGGAGCCAGATAATCGGAGGTCTGTGGTAAAAGTTCAAAGCCATTGCTTATAGAAAAGATGGTTTACTTGCTTGTATTTTATACTCATTATTTCTTATCATGGAGACTCCTCTGCCTAATGCTTTTCTTGTTATACTTTCATGCCCTTCACGTTGCCCCTCAGCACCCAGACTTTCAGCAGAAAATAGTGGCACTCCCAAGACTGTTATCAAGGGGATGTTGGGAGTGAGTGGTTCTTAACCCTTTATAATATTGAAAAGTTTTGTTTGTTTAGGGATGAAAAAAAGTACCCATGAGATAGTTGAACCAGGATCTTCAAAGAATATATTATCTTGAAACTTGGGCTGTGTAACGTAGAATTTATAAGTGGGTAGCTTATTGAAGTTTATTTTCATTTTTAAATAGGTACTTAGATGCCTTGTCATTGTAGAAGGAAACATTAATTCTAAAGAGAGAGAGAACTCTAACCCACTAGCCACAGGTCTGTCTAGTAGTACTTGAATTGGATCTCCTTTCTGGGAAATTGTAGATCTCCCAAAAATTTTAGGCAGGATGCCCATTCAAGAGTTCCCAATTTTCCTGTTTTATAGTGAAAACCCTTTATTTAAAAATGGGGTGACAGGCTTGCTTTCTGTGTACTTTAAGGTTCACCAAGCTGCCTTTCTATGCATGAGAGAGAACAAAAGAGAACAACACCAGACTTCCAGTGCTTTCACCGTGAGTGGCACCCGGTGAAATAACACTGCCGTGCAGTTGCTGCTCCATTACCACGAGGAGCGTGAAGTTTAAGTTATTTGTGGGGATCTTCCCTTAAAACAGGCCACTAAGCAATTATGATTCTCCTGAGACAAATGGTTTCTCTCTACACTTGAAGGATTTGGTGTTGACCTGGGCATCATCTTTAGCCATGTTTTCAGTACCGTGTTTTGGAAACTAAAGAGTATTTAAAACAACAAACAAACAAAGAGAACCCAAAAAGGATAGAAACTTGAACTGTGTGTGAGAAGTTATATTGAAATGAAAAGTCTTGAAATGTAGAGTTTCAAATGTGAAACCCCCAAATTGGCTGAGCAACATCAACACAACTACCAGAGACACGATGCGCTCCCATGGGCGTGTGCTCTGGAAAGCCTGTACTGGAAAGAGGATGAATAGCAGGAACACTTAGTGAATCTCTCCCCCTACTTCACCCTCTTTCCCTCCTCCCCCTCTCTGAGACATGATCTCTCTCCACAGTTCTGACTGTCCCTGGAACTCGCTCTCTAGACCAGACTCACAGAGATCCACCTGGCTCTGCCTCCTGAGTGCTGGGATCAAAGGTGTACACCATGGCTCCTGGCTCAAATAGCTCATTTTAATGGTTGCATTCTATTATTTGCTCTCTCTTCCAAATTAAATTTGAGAAGTATTTTACTGCCATATTTGCCATAAATGTTAGCTGTCCGTCAGTATCTCCAGATCCCTCCGTACGAATATCACAGACGGCGCTCATGATTCCAACTGTCATGAAATATAGTCTTTGCAAAAACTGGATTACTGTACACATTTATCCCTATGAGTGCATTGGATGCAGCTCAAAGGTGTCTTGCAAAGACATCTCTTAACTAACGTGTCATGTTGGAATGATTTATGTTTCTAGTTCCAAGTACACTATACAGAATACAGCAGGAGCTTCATAAATGATAGACTGATTCTTCAAAAGCTATTTTAAAAAATAGGTCCTTTGGACCCTACAATTCATTTTTCCATAGAAAAAAATGCCATGAGTGATCATTAGATTCCCAAGCTGATCTACAGTTGTTATTTAAATGAGTCTGCAATAGATGTGTAACAGAAATAGCGCTTCCCTAGCTTTCTAATGTGCCAGTACATCAGTGCTTATTTCTCTTCCACAGTCACCCTGTGAGTAGGTAAATCACAGCACAATTCCCTCCACTATAGACCTGAGGAAGTGAGATGCCCTTAAAAGTTATTCTCATGGACCAGATAGCCCAGTGTGTAAAAGACACTTGCCACCAGGCCTGAGAGCTCAGGTTGATGCCCAGGTTCCATTTTAGGGAAGACCAGAAATGACTCCCACAAACTGTCTTCTGACCTTTGCACACATGCCATAGTGCACACCCACACACTAAATAGATCTTTTTAAAAGTCACTGCTGTGACTGAAAGTGCAGTGAATGGAATGTGCCATAAAACCTTTGGGATTCAACATGTGCTTTGCCCTCATCCTTCCTCCACTGACCCCACACCTCAGACCCAGCTCTGGGAGAACTACTGATTGGTTTTCTGGAGAAAGAGGCCAGGCAGGTAAGCAGGTAAGTCAGGTATTTTCTATCCTAAGAGGCATTTTGTAGCATTCTTTAGTTATGCTCATCTAACCAGAATCTTGGTGGAAAAAATTGGCTTAGCTTTTTAAGTGCATTAATCCTCTACATTCAGAACGAGTATTGGGGGTTTTGTTATTGTTGTTGTTTGTTTGATTGGTTGATAGTCAGTGAACATTAATTCCTGGGTTCTTGATGATGAAGATGTTGGGTCGCTAAGGGATCAGGAGTAAATACCTCGTTGGAAGTAACTGCTAAGGGAGGAGGCGGTGTCTTGACTGTGGTTGCTCACACAATAGCTAGGTTTAGCTGGCTTTGACTAAGTACAGAGACCAGGTGAACTTTGAATCCAGCCAGTGGGGTAGGTGCTTTGAGAATGGTTTTGATTTCTCCGCTCTGTGTAAGTGGGTAAATTTCTTCAAATCACCTTGAGGATCTTAAATACCATCCCCTTTCCCTCCCTCTCTGTCTGTGAGTGATCTTATTTCTGCTGTTGTCCTGACTTTTCAAACATGAATGTTTTAAATCTCCTTTTGCAGCAAAAGAAAGATTCAAATACTTCCAACTTGGAAAACTTAAGCAGAAGTTTTATTGTTTTAAAGATCACCCCATCCTTAAGAAATGAAAATATTCCTACCAAAGGGAGACAGGAACGAATTGCAGCTTCACAAATCAATAGGAAAGGGGAGATGCTCTTTATCTGAACATATGATTGTGTTTTAACTGAAGCATTAAAATAGAGACAGGGGTATAAAGTATTTACAAATAATTGCATTCCTATCCCAGTGGGGAAGTCAGCTAGTGGCATAGTTGAAGTCCACCCATCATGTTAACATCTAACCAAAAGCAACAAAAACAGTGGAATCTTTCCGTCCAGTTATGGAGTTTATTCGAGAGCCATGAAGTCTGAATTCTCAACTTTTGGCAAAACCATCACACAGGTATGTGTATTCTTTGTCAAAGCCAGTGTGATGGTCGTCTGTCACATTATATGTTGAAGTCATTTTCGTAAAGGCGGGGAAGCCACACATTTGGTAGTCAGAAGCCCCTTACTGTGTGAGCTGCCGTTCGTGTCTCCCATGATTCCCAGGGTCTGGGCTGGAAGGGTACATGCAGATCATAAGTGGAGACGCGTACTGATAAGGCTTCACGAACCAACAGGAAATCCATTAGCTCCGTCATTTGCTCTTCCTTCTGGGCTCAATATGTAATTGTTTATGTTCAAAGCAAAACGAAAAACCAACCCCTTTTTACTCTTCTAGCACTCGGGAGAGCCTGGCTTCCAACACATCAAGCATTGTTGAAAGCAACCGCCGTCAGAATCCTGCTCTGAGTCCGGCCCACGGCGGAGCTGGTCCAACCTTCAACTTCCGCGCAAGTACGGATCCCCCGACCAACGAAGCTGAGAAATTACAGAAACCTTCCAACTGCTTGCAAGCTTCTGTTACTAGTGTATGATTGTCCCTCTGCCTCAGACCTTCTGTCTTGTCCGATACAGTAACGTTTACGACAATTGGGGCTGACGTTTACATCTCTGCAAAGACAAACATCTCAAGCACAGCTTGGGGGGTCACTTGAGCTGTGCTGCTAAGTAGGCTAGGGCAAAAAAAAAATCTTTATTTCAGAGTATTGCTTTTCACATTTATGGCTCTGTAGCAACCGAATAGCAGTAGGGGAGATATGTATACTTCTGCTTCATTAACTGTACCTGAACACACATAGGCAAGTCTAAACACTGTACGTGGAACATGCATTTTTCAACGTCATGCAGTTGCCAATTCCATTTTGAAATGCCACAGATGTGTGTTGCTCCCAGCCGATGGGGAATGGGGCCAGGGAACTAATCCTTGACAACCAGCCCCCCCCTTAAAAAAAAAGCCAAGTCACCATAAAAATGTAAATGTAAGGGTCTCCATTGTGAGAGAAATTGATGCCAAACTGAGCAGAAGGGACCCCAGCCCTTTGTGTGTGAGTCCTTTAGGCGCCAGCCATTTTTCACTGTGAGTTTTCACGACACTCTTGCAGGAGCCCATGGCAGCGTGTCAGAAAGGGTCCCGCCGGAAGTCCTTAGAGTGTTTGTTTTCAGGATTCTGTTTTTCCAGTGCACTCGATGCTTGTCTTGAGTTGTTTTACCTTCCACGGTCACAGACGGGAATATAGGCCTTTGAAGTGGACAGAGGAAGGGGAATCCAGTCGTGCTGGGCCACGGCACTGAATGGCGGAGAAGGTGGTGTGGACTTTTGGGAGGGCTGAATCAGATATTGAAGAAGGGATACCTTCCTCCTTGTGACACTGGGATGAGCTTTCTTCCTATCATAGAGGCAGTGGTTAGTTTGTTTGGAAGCAAAAATGTTCTTTATGATACAAATGAAGAATGTGGTCCGAGGGTGTTATTCTTTCTAATGGAAGGGACATAAATCTATTTTATGTAGTTTTAAATAGAATGCCTAAATTAGGCTGTGGGAGATCATTTTTAGTGGTCGTAGGAAAGAGCAAATTTAGGGAGAGTTGAACTTCAGGCCTTTTATTCCTGGGAAGATATCTATAGAAAAAAAAATCCTTTAAAGTAATTTTTGATTAGAAGTGTACATGGACCCATATAATAACCAGCAGAATGTCCTCATTCCGCTGGTATGGTATATCCTTAATTGTACTCCCCTAAAATTTATCAGAATGATGATTATGCATACATGAACTATGCCAGAGTAATGTTTACAGATACCTTGTAATGATTTCAGGAGGCCTGTTTTAGGTGGACCATGGGCTCACTCACTCCGCATCTTTTAAGATGATTTCTTCACACTCTACTTTGGTTTGCAATGTCATGCTCAGTATCAAAAGGCTCCACAGCGGGGGGACCACTAGCCAATACACTTCAGTCCTACAAGTAAGGCCCGCTTCGACAGAAGAGTATACAGAAGATGCTGTATACCATAGGATTCCTACGTCTGTAGGCACTGGAAAGCCATCTACTCCAGGGTTACCTCTGATCCCAGTAGATGGTCTGACATGAAGTTTTATTCAGCTTAGTGTTGGATGGTGCTTTTTGGAGCCATGGATCATAAATTGATTCATAAATAAACAATTTTAAAATCAATGTAAAGTATTTTCAGCCAAGATCTCAGTAGTGAGCATAAATCTGTGAGAGGTTTCTTTTTCTGGGTTAGGCTTAATCACTAGCAGTGTGTTTGAGGAAACACAGTCATGTGAAGTCGTGGGAAAGTCTCTCACATTTTGCCTGCTATACAGAAGCTGCATTGGCTCAAACTGGGCTCCTCAGTTTTGGTATAAGACATTGCTTTATGTGCTTCTTGTAGTAAGGCTTAAGCACAGTGGGCAGTATACTGCTATGTCATTGAAATGCTTAAGCCTATTGGGTTTTGAATCCCATACCTTCTTTCCCCCCAGGCATGCCACCTTTACTGAAAAACACATTGTTTCTCTCATGACTTAAGTATGTCCAGAGAGAGCAACCACGTGTCCACGTTCCAGAATGTGCAGTCATGGATCTGGTGTTCTATACAGTCTTTTTGCTTGAGGAGCTGTATGCCATAGGATTCCTAGATCTGGTCTGTCTAAATTAATTTTTTTCCCAATTTTTGGCATACTCAGTCCATTAATAATAGGAGCATCAAACAATACATTAGACTCTGATAGACACTCTGGACATAGCCATTGAAGGAATCTAGTACTGTGTGAGCAGCAAGGACAGAATTCTGTTCAGGAGAAGAAGCTTTAAAGACATGAATTTTGATGGTTTGCGAGAAATAGGTTTACAGAAGACGTTATTCAAATAAAATGTGTATGTTTTTTGCCTAATCACTATGGGGTACATGATTTCAGAAAGAAACAAAAGACCCTCCCTTAACCAGCAGCCATTAGCATAGAACGAAGGACTTCAAAGATGATATGCCACATAAACAGATATTCCAAGGAGAAACACTCCTGTGTGTTTCTAATCTGGATTCTTGAATGGAGGGACATTGGTGGTGGGAAGCACATGACAGACATGACAAGTCTGTGTGTCTAAGATGACCTCATCAAGATGGTGAGACTCTTGACGCCCACAGCCCTGAAGCCCTCCCTAGGCTTTGCCAATTTTCCTCTCCACTGGAAGCTAGCTTTGTGTTACATGACTGCATGTCTAGTCTTAGCATTTATCAATGGAAAGGTTTACAAAACTGAATCTGGTTGAATCTCTGTGAGGCATTCAACTTTAAAGGGTCAACACATCTATCGGCATTTTGCACACTTATATGTATTATTATGATACAGCATATTACTTTATGGTAATTTTTATTTTTACATATAACTACCTCCATGAATTTGATGAGATGGCAGCAGTGTGTTCAAGTGTGTTCTTCAGAAAAGCAATGTTGAAAACACGCTTCCACGGTAGGCCATGGTGTTCCCTGTGTGTCCGTGACTTGCCCATTGGACTCATGACTTTTGCACTGCCGTGGTTTTTCTTTCACACCACGCTGTGGCTTCCAATTGTAAACCTGTTGTCTTCTTTCTCTCTCCTTTCTGCCCCGTGAAAGCACATTTGATTTGTTACAAGTGAATGACATTTTAAAATGTTCTAAAATTATTGTCTTCCCATTCTTCCATTCCTGCTACAAAAAAAAAGAGGAAGGAAGGAAGGAAGGAAGGAAGGAAGGAAGGTCCTCTTTGGCAAAGAGCTACTTGGTAAACATTTGAGAAATTATTAATTCCTTTAAAAATTGGATTGGATTGCTAGGGCTTTTTTTTTTTCAGTAACAAAAGACGTGAAAAATTTGAACTGCCAACTTGAAGCACTTTGGGCCTCTCTGCCGTTTTGATATGCTACCCTATGAAGCCCAACCCTCCTTTTTATTAAAAGAGCTGTGCCGTGCATTCTGAGATGTCTGTTAAATAATTTGTATACTATTTGGTGTGTTTTGCACATCTCAGGAGACCTTAATGAGTGTGTGAAAGGGAGTGTGTTTGTGCACCCAATAGAGAACAGAAATAGGAGCGCTGGAAGGAGACTAGCTGGGGAGAAATGATAAATGCCTGAGCCTTTGATGTTGAAGAATCCAAGTTCAGGGACTATAAATCGAAAGGGAATCTGGAGGAGCAGTGATTTGAACACCAGCTGTTCCCAAATGCGTCTCTTTTTCAAAAACTCAGCCACCATTGTTAAAATGCACATCTAAAATCTTTCGCAGCCACCACCGAGACTAGAATGGTGGCCCGTAGGAAAGGGTTATTCTTTTAGGTTGACATAGCTTTGTAAAGTTCTACCCAGGGTTTACCACTTGTCCACCAAGTGTACTTGAAGATAAAGTTCGTAACTTGAATGAAAAGGCATAATTCTCACAAAACCGTAGCAATCATTTTTGGGAAATGTCTTACCATTTGGAAGGGGTAGCATTCTGAGCTTAGGCTAACAGTCAACCACTAGTAACGTTTCGCAGCTCATCTGGGGATCTCAAAGTGCTTCCAAAGCGTTAGATGTGCAATTACACAGAGCAGGTCCTGTGTGTGATTCCCCGTGCTTGACAGGGGCAAACAGACGGAGTGACTCACGGTCACCCAGAAACACAGTGGCAGCTACCAGGGACCTATTTTCTATCTGTTGGAGAGACCATCATGAGAAATCACTACAATGCTATTTTTCTGATGTGTGCTAATAAAGAAAACAAGTTCAGCTTGACACCTTGTCCATTTTCATTCGAAGAGTTATGGCTGTTTGGAATCTCAACACCTCTGCCCAAATTGCTGGTATTGAGTTAGGAAGTGGGAGATGGCCAAATCCACACCATGGCCTTTGCCGTTCAAGGCCAATCCAGACATCCACACTTGTTTACAGTTTCTTATTGGGTTTTTGTAATTGCTGTAAACTCCAGCATCAGGAACATTGGCTATTCCAGGCAGTGGAAGGTGCTGAAACAGTTTTTAGTTTTGTTTTGTTATTTTAAAGTCTTTATAAGCACTCTGCACAGTGCTCAGCTCAGTAAGGTTCACCACAGTATACAAAGCCCTGCTTCGCAAGATCTGGGAAGCTGGTCCAATTCCAAGTGTTTTCTCAAACGATGAGACAGAAGGTTTTTGATGCCTGCTTTCTCCATTCCCACAGACCAGTCCCAGATCTAACTAGCTGTGTAGTGTCAGACCACAGTGGACCCAAGTAGAAGTGGTTGCTTCCTTGTCCGCCCATCCCCCCACCCATTGTCAAAGCCATCCAGTAATGTCCTGTGAGTGAGGGACTCCTTGGCCCATGTTTAAGGCTTGGGGAAGCTAGAAACAAGAACAATGAGCGCAAAAGCCATGGGAGGCATTGTTCTTTGGGTTAGTTAAAAATGTCAGGAAAGGCATTGCTGTCCTCTGACTTTGGCCAAGAGATAGAAAACAATTGGCCGTTATTCTCTGAAGGTGTTATAGTATTAATGATATAACTGACACTTTCCCATGGAGTTTTCTGTAGGAGACGTTTCATAAATTATACATATGAGACATTTGATTATTAGATCTCATGTGTTTGTAAAAGGTACTGGCGTCTCCCTGCTTGGTGTCTGTCCCGTTCCCTGGTCTTGCATCAGCAATGCAGAGGGGCTCCCCCGTGGTGGCTCCTCCCATACACACTTCTGTGTCTTCACTGCTGTTCATAGACTTAACAGTTGATGACTTGCAGAATTTAGAATTCGGCAAAGCTCAAGGGGAACTAAGCCTTCTTGTCGTTGTATGCGGGCAGTCAGAGGCCTCGAAACGCTCCTTGTTGGCTTCGCGTGTGAACACACACCCCTGCGAACACGTACACACACCCTGCGAACACACGCCCTGTGAACGAGGAAGTGTTGGCGAGCGAGGCATCCATGGCTCTAGAAGGCAAAATGGAAGCCTAGCGCTTGGCTGGTCCTTGTATACCTGCCTACCTCCCTGTCCAAAGGCTGACCTTGGTACCTCCATTCCCTTGCTCTCGCCCAAAAGAGGTATCAAACCTGAGACCCGAGCTCTCCTCCAATGCCAGTCCTCTACAGCTCCAGGAAATCCATCACACAGAAAACTCTCGGCAGCCCCAACTCTTCCTTCCCTCCGAGGAACACCCTCTCTTCCTCCTTGCCCTCCCCCACCTCGCTACCTACACCACCACGGTTTCCACATTGGAAGAACAGAATAGCGCGCAGTATTGTGCGCGCATGCCCAGTTAGGAATCAAACTGCCCTAGGGTCACCTCCACGTACGTATCAACAGCTACAGATTAAAAGTCCTTAGAGCAGTGACATCCGTCCCACTATCTGGAGAAGAATTCAGTTTGAGCATCCGAGTTTCAAGGGATCCCGATTCTGCAGGTGTCTTTCTCTGAGCGACTTGAATGTGACCATTCCATTAGGGCCAATGAACTAAGAAGTGCAAGTGGGAATTATTGTATGTTAGGAAGGAGTTTTGCAGCCAAGACTGCCTTGAATAAAATGTTTTTGCACTGAAAAAAAAAAAAAACTTTAAATGACTCGGTCTCTGGTTGCTGTAAAGGTCATCCAGGATGGATATTCTGTTTATATTGTATAGTATTTCATATGAAATAGCTGCAGTTCATGAGACGTCTTCCCTAATGTTCCTGATTTCTAACAGCACATTTGTAACATGGTTTTTATCGTGTCCGTGTACCATATTGTAAATGATGCTTCCTTGTCATGCTTAGTATAATAACTTAAAAGGAAAAAAAAAAGGACAGGGATTTTTGTAAGTCTATATTTGAAAGTCCCTCCATATGGTAATATTGTGTTCATGTTGTTTATGTAGTGTTGTGTGAAATATCCATTTTGGATTGTGTTACTTTTTAAAATATTAAATAACATTTGGTTATATGTGTAAGTGGAATTTTTTTTTTTTTGCTACTTGAGGAAAAAAATCATTTAGATGAGGTTGGGTTTTCACTTTGATTAATGTGATTTTTGTAACAGAGTTCTGTTGCACATTCTTTATTACAGTTTTTAAATTGAAAACCAAAAATGGAGTTCCTGTATCGAAATTATTTTCCTATGGGTTTTAAAAAGATCACATTTTGGGGTGGGTTTAACACAGCGCAATGGTTAGAGTTGTGTGTGGTCCCCCATTTTTATGAAATTATAGAGCAACATGGTTATTTGGGGGCTTTTTAAAAAAAAATCACTCATTTCAAAACAAGTTAAATGTCTCGCAGGTAAATACTGGGATGTTTGCATGTAGTTAGAAGTTAGGGATGCCTGCGTGTTCCGAGGTCTTCAAGATCTAGGCATGGGTTTCTAATCCTAACAGCATTCAAACACCATGTATTGAAAAGAATTTTTCTTTTCAGTTCATGACTAGGGTTGAGGAGATGACCCAAGAGAGTACTTGTTTCACAAACATGAGGACCCGAGTTTAGATTCCCAGCACCCACATAAACTCTGGGTACGATGGTTCTCCTCTATAGTAGAGGGTCAGAGGCAGGATCCCTGGGTTCACTGGCAAACAGTCAAGCCAGATTGATTGCTGAACTCTGGGTTAAGTGAGAGACAGTCTTGAAAAATACAGCAGGGAGGAACTGAGGAAGACATCTCAGGTCAACCTCAAGTCTCCATAGACAAGCATGTATACATATGCGTACATCACACATAGAATTGTGTCTGTATTTAACATGCACAGACGGTCATTCTTTGTCAGTTCCCATTAACAATCACCTATAACTACTTTCATAGTATTTATGTCACGGTAGTTATTGTGTGCCATCTAGATATGGCTTAAAGGATGTCATCTTTAGACGTGCATAGGCTGTACGCAAACATGGAAGCATTTTCTGCTGCAGTTGAGGATTTGGATATCTGGGGAGGGGATCCTGGAGCCTATGCACTGGGGCTCAAAAAGATGCCTTTACATTCTGTTGAGTCCCCTCCCTGCAGACAGATCTTTGGAGAATGAGGTCTATCTTCAACTAAAAATGATGTCCTGTCAAATGAACGATTAAGCTAAGAAGCAGCCTGTCACTCCCGAACACTAGACTGCTACAATTGAGACCAATTTTCTTGTAAAGGCAAAATCCTAACCCAGACTTCCAAAAAATGTCTTGGACAATAATCTCATCTTTTGAATTAATTTGAAGAGCCCAAGGTGGTGACTTTGAAGGCAAGTCTCATTTTGTTGAGCCTGTCTTGAGCTTGTCTATATACACTGCACAGCAGAGCTACTCCCATTTTCAGGCGTGAAATGGGGATGAGCCAGTGCATTGTTCCCTGGTGACTTCAGCATCACCAGCTGCCGTGGTCAAGGGGAGGGCACCGTGTGTGCTTTTCAGCAGAATCCAGGGACCTGGATGCTTGGGAGAAATCTGGGAACTTCATAAGAAGATTGAAAGCAGGTTTCTGGCTCCTTTGAGAGAACAGTCACAGTTCGTAAAAGTCCTCTCTTTCCGAAGGAAATGGTATGGTTTTAACATGCTTTTACATGTTTCAGAGTGGGGAGACTCCCGCCCCCTCCGTAGAGAAAACCCAAATGGAATATAATTGCCTCCTACTCTGTTTGCCGCTACGAAATGGAGAAACAGTGAATAATAAAAAAGAGTTAGTCACCTGACTTCCATAACGTACTTAACTGTAAAATCTTATCCCTACTATGGGAATACTCGGATTGACTCATACTCCCATTTTCAGGCCCCGGGACTCCAGACCTTTCCTGTCAAACAAAGAGTTCATCTTGCAACCTGTGAGGCTGTGTGCCGTGGATATCTGCACACGGCCCCATGCAGTAATAGCAAGAAAAGAGAAGGCATCTGCACTCAGGAGAGGCGGGGTGGAGGTTTCACTGCATCTTGAAAGGGTCACTGGAAATGCAATCTGATAGGTAAGAAAAGTAAGACAAAGTTAGTTTGGATCCAAAGGGCAAAAATGAATAGGTTGCTTCCTTCTTGGTGATGTCTAGGAGTTTAAGGCTGCATCTACTGCCCCCCTAAAGTGGATGGACAACATGAATCCAAGGTGAGTCTCAGCCTAATGCATAATTATTTATTCTCCAGCCTCCAGGTTCCATCAAACAAAGGCCTTCTTGGTCACATCCCTTCGTATTTCCTTGTTTCTCTTTATTGCAAAATTCCACACATTATCTTCTATTACCTTGGATTTCTTTTACTTTACTCTCCTGCCTAAATACATTTTTTTTGTGATTTTTGTCATGCTACTAGCATTTGATCATGGGCCTAGAGATGGCTCAGCAGGTTATGTCCTTTGTCATTGAGTCTAATGACCTGAGTTTGATCCCTGAGGCCCACACAGGAGGGGAGAACTGACTCATGCAAATGGCCCTCTGATCTCAATACACATGATGTCATGTGCACACACGCACACATACACATGAACATTCAAATGAACAAAAGACAATAGGACTGTTTTTCAAGATTTATTTGTGTGTATGTGTGTGCACGCATGCACATGCATGCACCAGTATGCATGTTCCTGTGATAGCCAGAAGAAGACATCAGATACCCTGGTCCTGCAGTTGTAGGTGATTGTTAGCTGTCTGATATAGTGACAGGAACTGAACTCAGGTCTCCTGGGAGAACAGGAAACATTCTCTTCAACTCCCTAAAACAGCTTGAAAAGAAAATAATTTTTTAAAAAATGTTCTCAATTATTTATAACCACAATGGATTAGTTATATCTTAAATTTCCTATTCATATTCATGGATATAAATAATCCTAGCCCAAGTCCACAGACCAGTGTATTCCAGCATCTCATTTCCGCTCACCTCTGTGTCGGGAGCATTTTGACTGCCAGTTCTCCTATGGGAGTCGCTCATGTGTGTTCACTTGGGGTCAGATAAATAACTGGCCATGTTCAGGTATGTACAGATGGGTATGTGGGTGGATTACTGATGGTGACTACTCTCTCCAAGGCTTAGAGAACCCTGGAGAAGAGAGGGACGAAAGATCAGAAGAGCAGGAGGAGGGCAGAGATGGCTACAAGATGCTGACTTACCATGTATCATGACTATTGTATCGTAAAGGCACACCTGAGGTCTCCTGCACTGGGCCAACACAACCTGGGCCTGTGGAGATCCATCAGACACATCCTTAACAAATAAGCAAACAAGGTCTCTATTGCAAAATGCTAAATATATATTTTATGATTATTTGCCTTTTAAGTTTCCAAGAGTAAAAAATGATTTTTTTCCTTAGAAAAATCTTCCTTTCTTCTTCCTTCCTTTTCTCCCTCCCTCCCTTCCTCCTCTTTCTTCCTCAGCTTCCTTTGCCCATATCACCCCGCCTTCCTTATTCATCCAATCTCTCATCTATCTGTCATCTATGTGACTATGTCTGTCTATTTACCTATCTATCTACATATCCTTCTATCATTCTTGTGTCATCTATTTTTTATCTATCTACCATTGATCAGTCTATCATCTTTTTTTCCTCTGCAAAGGCAGTGAAACAAAAGATGCTTGTAATGACTGACTCTCTGAAAGATAGGTCACTTGGGGAAGTTATTCTCAACTTTTAAAATATCTGTGCTTCAAGCCAGCATCTTCCATTCTTTGGCCAACCTCAGTGTGGAACCCTTTTTTCTTCCTCTGTGGTGGAATAACAGTTCAGGGGTCGTTGCATGGGGGCACCCGTCTGCCAAGCTCAGCACAGTGCCCCATCATTTATCACTGTGGCAGGACAAGTGAGATGGACTTCCAGCAGACCAGAGAAGACAGTCGTTTCTTTCCCTCTGCGGCCTTCCTGTGCTCTGTGAAGGAAGCTCACGTGAGGCATATGAACTGAATAGCAAAGTATTCAGAATGGGTAAGTTCAAAGAGTCTCTGGAATAAGGCAGCAGTCTTGGAGAGAGGTGTCCCTTCCATGCCTCCTCTGTCATTAATAACAGCCACCTGAAGTAGACCAGGGAGGCTCCCGAGGGGCCACATAAGAAGTCAGGCAAATGAGCATACTAGAGAACGTGTTTCCATTTGACACGTTTTCTTGTGAATTGATGAAACTATAAACACGTAGGAAGGCTTCCCTGAGCTCAAGAAGACATTTAGCAGAGATTTTAGATCAGAGCATTTCCATAATAAACGAACAAATGAAAAACCCTTTATAGTTTGGACTCATAGAATTGCAAAGAAATTATACAAAGTTTTTCCTTGTCCTGTGCCCAGTTTTCCCAATTAGTAGCATCTCATTCTAATATGGCACATGGGTCACTATTAATGAATGAGCACTAATATTTTTAATGATTACTATTAAATTAGTTCTTTAAAATATTTTATTATACTTCTTGAGTGGTGTGTTGCATGTGTGCATGCATGTGTGTGTGTGCGCGCGCGTGCGCATGTGTATAGAACAGAGAACAACTTGAAAGAATAGGTCCATCGCTTCCACTATGTGGGCTCTGGGAATTGAACTCAATTAGTCAAGCTTAGCAGCAAGCACCTTTACCCAATGAGCCAGCTTGCTGGTCTTTGAATGTTATACACTGAAGTACATACTTCCTCCACATTTCCTCACTTTGAACATACCATATTTTTTTTTCTGTTCCAGGAGCCTGTCTAGGATTCCATATTAAATTTGCTTGCATGTATCCTTGTTCTGAGATTTCGTTCTTTCCCTTGGTTTCCCTTCATCACCTGAGTGTATGTATACACAGCCCCTTCTGCTGGAGAAGAAAGCACTGGTGCCCTTTGGGTACTATAGCAGGAGTTGACATGCCCCTACCTCCTCCTCCACACTTCCAACCTCTGCAGAGCTTAGCTTCTGCATATCTCAAGGTTCGGATCCAATGCTATGCCGCCACAAGGGCCCCCTGAGCCTGCTTCTCTCCGTTCATGCTCTGGTAAAACCTGCATAGTTTCCAGCCCTGTGTTCTCATCG